ATGACCTATCACCTTCTCTATCTTTTGTGATGATTGAATAAGAGTTGAGTTCACGAGCCTCCCTTTGTTCATCACTAACATCATTACTCTTCTCTATCTTGAGTGACATCTTAACATAATCTTCAAAGGATAGCACTTCTTATCACATATTAGTTATCCCCTAGAGTAGATCATCCACATGAGCTCTTCCTTCTCTTTTGTTAGGATTATGGATAATTACTTTGTAGTTTATTTTGCATTATATGTTTTTAATTATGTGTAATTAAATATTTTCTGTCATAGGTTAGATGGATACTTGAGATGTAACCTTTTTGAACTCCAACTTAAATTTATGATATTGATAAGAGTTTTGATCATAATTATTTCTTTGTTTGTATATAATTCTTGATAAAGTCAAACAAGGATTATTCTTAATTAATCAATTGACATGCAATGACACTCTGAATATGTCAACATATCTAAGGAATAATTAGGGATTATGGATCAAAAAGATTAATTTTTTTTCTCTAATCTTTTAATCAGTTAATTAGATTTAACATATTTAATGAGTCTTAATACTCTTATTTGTGTGTTAATTCATTTGATCATTAACATAACATTCAAATAAGAAGACTATCACTTTTCTATGATCACTAGATAGTGATTAATATAATTTAGATAATTGATGATTAATTCAATACAATGAATTAAAATGTTAAATTGTAGGATAATTAGGGAATCACAAGAGGAAATCAAAGTCTCATGTAATTATTTGCATATATTTTATAGTGTGGTGTTTGTTTATCTTATTTATTTGTGAAAAATATCATCAATCACATTATAAAATCTTTTGGTAATTGACTAGCTTAACATTTAGTGAACCATAGTATTAGATGCTTATGGATATAATCCTTGCGAAAATGACATTGGAAGGATAAAATAAAATACTTTTTTTTATGATTGGCAAGTACACTTACTCATGCGTTCAAGACTTTTTAAGAAGTAAAAAGTACTACCACTTATACTTTGACCTTCTTTCAATACCTTATACACATGTTGACTTTAGATGATATATCATTTACCAGATGGTAGTGAAACACTCAAGTAAACTAATCAAATAATTTAAACAATTCATCAAATATAAGTGTATTTTTCATCCATTAAAACTTAGACTTTTTTGTCTTTTCAAGAACTTGCTTCAGCAATATGCTTCCTTTTATGATAACAAATACTCTTACTTTTCAAGAATAAGTTGTTCATTATTTAGGCTCTATTTTGGTAAATTTCTATATAAGTTCTTATTAGAGAAAAAAATTAGTATAAAAAAAAAAAAAAACCTTATGCTTATCTATTTTATAAGAAGTTTTGAGAAGCTTTTTCATTTTTCCTTCTCTAAATTTGAAGCGATATATTATTTTTAACTTATGAAAAAAGTTTTATTCATTATTTATACTAATATTTTTTCTTTTACAATAACTTCTTTATAAGTTCATCTAAACAAGACCTTAATTATTAATCAATTTCAAACATGTGTTCTTATGTCAATAAGCAAATAGTAGGTCTCTCCCTTTTGTTATTATAAAAAATAAAAACTCTTCCCCTAAGTTTATGACATCCTCATCTATCAGAGACAAGAGACTTTAAGTGATTACGTAAACTAGAAAGGCCTTCAATAACATTCTATTGTGTTGAGAGATAGGTTGTTTCAAATAAGTAACTTGAGCTTCTAGCGTCTATCATTAAGAGGTAGGTGAGGTGTGAGGGGTGAAAAGAAATGGAGGTGAATGAACGTACATTTGTATTGTTTGTATACAAGTCACAATAGAAGAATAATGACAAAAAAAAAAGATGTTCTTGAAAGCTCATAATAACAAATAATATAAAATTGCTTGGCAAATTTTATTAATGCTCAAGAGTGAAGAGTAGAAAAAGAAAGGAATGGTATAACATGTGAAATAAAAAAATGATTTTCAACATACTATCTATCAATAGAGGTCAAAAGTTGAAGTAAGGTACTTCAACTATTATTTTATATACAACTGTTGATTTCTATTTTATTTTCCTTTCATAACTAATAAAAAAGTTCATATAATTATAATTTTTAGTAAATATTATAAATAAAAATGATAGATTTTTTTAAAAATAATTTAAAGCGATAGACGTGAAGATTAATAAAAAAATTTAATTTGTTAGTTTATTGAATTTGATTATATCCTTATTATTTTCACATGCACAAAAAAGGAACTTTTTCAAGAATAGAATAATTTGATTATTAAGAAAAGACTCAAAATGTCTAGCAATGTTACAACGTAAATATACAAGAACTCCTTCTCTCCAAACAACAATTTGAAATTTAAAATAGCAATTCTAACTAATAAGATAATGCAGTAGTATCTTCTCTTTTAAATTTGTTATTTTTAAAGATAATAAATTTTTTGAAAAATAAATAAATAAAACATCCTTCAATCACAAACCTAATTCTATTATTAGAGTTGAGTTCTTTGATTTAAGAATTTGAAGCTTCTTCAACTAATTTTTGAAAGATAAATGCTAGTACACTAATTTTAACACATTCCTAACTATTAACTAAAATTTATTGAAAACTACAAAAATTATGTTGGTCTCTTTCATATTATTAAATTAATGTTTTCTCTTATATTTTTGTAGTTTTCAATAAATTTTAACTAATAATTAAACGTGTGTTAAAAAAGAATATATTAAAAATTATGCTTCTAGCATTTTTTATTTTTAAAAACAAAGGTCAAATGATAATTTGATGTTTAAATAATAATTATTTTTAATTAATGATTAATATGTATGGAATTGACTTAATAATATTATAAATTTTGATTTGTGATTTTGGAATGAATAAAGAGATAGAGTTAGAAATAACTATAGATACCTTGTATCAAATCAAAATTCGATAATTGGTGGGTCATATTTAAAAAAACTTATGTATGCATTTGGACTAATTAAATCTTCTTGTATTATTGGCAATGAATTCATAACTGAAAGATTGAATAATAATTGAAACATAACAAAATTTTAGTGTATTTTTGTTTTTCTGAATTACCATAATCTCAAATGAACATTGGTATAAAATATCTATGCTTCTCTTTTTACATGTATTGGGATGCATATAAGAGAAATGTTAGAAACATCTCTCTAATGTACATTCTCTAGCACCTTTTTCATTGTTAACTAAAATTTATTTTAAACTATAAAAATAATATATATTTTATTTTTTTTCACTCTTAAATTAATGTTTCTCTCTTATACTTATGCAATTTTTAATAAATTTTAACTATAGTGAAAAGTATGATAAATAATGTGTACCGAAGAGTGTGTTGTTAGCATTCATTTGCATAAAAAATAAGAACTAAACACATTTTGATAGACTTTATTAAGATGATTTGAGTATAAATAATTAAACTATTATTCAATATTTATTTTCTGTGTAATAGAAAATTTTTTTCTTAAAAAGAAATGTTAGTACTATATATTTTTAATATTTTTCAAAGTAGTTTATTATAAAACGAAACCTATGCATAGAGTTTATGTAAGATGAGCGAAGTTGTGATAATAAGAAAAAACATAATGTATTGCTTAATAAAAAATTGTCATATAATTATTTACATTACCAATAATAGAAAAGCTACTACTTGACTAGAATAGAAAAATCGACTTAATTAATTAAAGTTTGATATGAGCCTTAATATAATTAATTACTCTTTAAAGTAAGTTTTATTAAATAGTAAATGAAATTTATTAAATAAAGGGTACTCATGCTAAGTTTTACTCAATAACTAAAAATATGTTGAAAAAAATGGATTAAAGAATATGAAATTAAGAATCTTACGTATTGTAGGAGTATTTTTAAATTTAACTAAAATTTATACATTTAAATAAACTAAAAAGAATGTAGTTGTTTTTTATTATTCATAGTATTTTTATCTTATTAAACATAACCAATTTTAAAAAACAAGACTTTTAAAATTAAGAAAAATATTAAAATAAATCATTTGCATTTGAATTAAAATACATCAACCCTATTAATATGTTATTTACAAATTTTAAAAATAAATTCAAATTATAATTGACTAAAATTACAATAATATCAAAATTCAATAATTTGGAGTGAGGCTCACCAGCTTGATTTTTGAGTCGTTTGTCGGGATTGCATATTGGATATTTTAGCAAAAAAAGAATAGTAGAAGTACCTATAAAGATACTTTAATATTGAATTCAACATGCATTTTAATACAATAACAAAATGTGGAATCGGTTCATACTGGAGACATGAGATATACGTTAAGCAAGGCTTCAGGTGCGAATAGGTCACAAACAAGACACAAAAATGCCCGTTAAACTCCACATGACATAATCATCATAATTGCATATTATTGTAAAAGTAAGGTGTGGGGATGCGAAGTAAAATAACGGCTATCTTTTTTTGCAGGCTTGTGTGGTTAACGGGTTTCACCCATCTGGTGTATCCTACTCAGTTCGAACGTACACGGCCCACTCAAATTGGCAGTCGGTATGATTCTTCTTTAATATGTATGACCTATGATCAAATACACACACTCAACTAATAATTAAAGACTAACTTCTAAAACATAAAATTATCAAAATAAATTTACCTCTTTCAATAAACTTTTTACGCAATCAATAAAAAGTCAAGAAAGTGTAGCTCAATTCTTAACAAAACACAACTAGTAACATTTTTTTGAAAATATTTTTCAACACATTATTTATAATGGTTTTTTTTTTACAATTTAAATTATTTATTTCACAAATTAATTATTTTATCTTTCCGAAAAATAAACTAATAACAGAAAAGATGCTTAAAAAAAAGTATTGCTAAATACTAACATTCCTCTGGCACATAATATTACATAGTAAATACCTTCAACTTTACCCGCTTTTAAGCAAGTGATTTTAATTCGAAATGACGAATTTACCCCTAAATGGACAGATGTCATGCTGTAGTTGATTTGTTGGGAGAGGCCCGCAAAATCAGTTGAGTGACGAACGACACATATAAACCCCCCAAAACCCTAACAATTGAGTTAGTACACTTCCCCCGACTCGCTCGAACAAGGGTGTGCTAGGGTTTTACGCAAGAAGCCGGGGCTGCTTCTAAGCACGAGCCAGGAGAAAATGGTGGCCGACAAGAGCAAGAAGTTGAAAGTTTCTGACAAAGGCGAGAATGTGGATGATGTCGACGGAGAACTCGTTCTCTCCATCGAGAAGTTGCAGGAGATCCAAGACGAGCTCGAAAAGGTATCCAATTTCATCTACTCTCCTTCTACCTTGTGTTCCTTTTTCAATTTCGCCAAATTCAACCTTCGTATATACCTCGTGTAAGGTGACTCTTCTTAGATAATGCTCCTGGAGCCTCCTAATTGAGCGCATTCAGTGTGATTAGTTACATTTAATTATCTGTATGTGTTTTTGGAATGTGGTTTAATTGACCTTCTGTATATGCTTCATTTTGTTTTTATGTTTATATTTATTTGGATTGGACTTATTTTAGATCAACGAGGAGGCCAGCGACAAAGTCCTCGAAATTGAACAGAAGTACAATGAGATACGGAAGCCAGTTTATGATAAGCGGAACGATATTATCAAGCGTATTCCTGATTTCTGGTTAACTGCTGTGAGTTTATTATTTATGTGTGTGTGTATTTTTGCTGTTAATTGTATTCTAGAGTTGTGAAATTATTATTGATATGATATTGGGAATGCCTTGGTTACTTTATTTGTTTTGCTTGTGCAGTTTTTGAGTCATCCTGCTCTTGGTGATCTTTTGAACGAAGAAGATCAGAAGGTTTGGCCTCTTTTGTGACATGCAGTAAAATTGGATCAGCTTGTTTTCAGCTTATTTGAGTTTTTTAGGCACAATATGTGCTTCTAAAGCATTGTCGTCTGGTTTGGGTGATCTTAATTTAACAAGATTCATATGCTTCAAATTGATACTTATGAAAATATGCCTTTTGGAAAGTTAAAACAAAGCAGATTTAGTGATGGCTGTCTGTGGAGTAGTGTGATACTAAATCGACTCATACTTGCATAATCACTTAGCTCTACAAGAATTATATTTGAATTGTTTATCCATGCCATGTCTTTACTTTTCCGTTTTTCTTCTTTATAATTCCTTGGGATCTTATTTTGAAGGTTTCATGGAGGTACTTCAATTATTGTTGTTTTACAGATACCAGATGTGTAATTCTAATTCACTACTGACTCCTTTTTTGTAGATATTTAAGTATTTGAGTTCTCTTGAAGTTGAAGATTATAAAGATGTCAAATCAGGCTACTCAATCACCTTTGTAAGTTTGTTTTCCTCTTTCCCTTGGTGCATACTTTATTGAAATGCTTTTGCAAATCACTTGTTGGTTTTGAAAATTATGTCTCACTTTGACTGTTTAGTTAATTGAAAAATAATCAGTGTTGAAATTATTTTTTGTTTAGAATTTCAATCCCAATCCCTATTTTGAGGATACAAAGCTTGTTAAGACTTATACCTTCCTTGAAGAAGGAACAACAAAGGTTACTGCTACACCCATTAAATGGAAAGAAGGCAAGGTGAGGTTATGAATATAACTTTTGTTGTCCTGTCAATTTTTAAAGTTTTTGATTTCCTTATTTCTTAAAACATAATCCTTAAACATGAAGGGCATACCCAATGGAGTTAATCATGAAAAGAAAGGGAACAAGAGGGCTCCTACTGATGTCAGGTTGGTGCCTAAATATGTTCAAAGTGTTTTTACAAAAGATATTGAAAACAAAAAAGCATTTTTCATGCATGCACTATTTAACAATCGTATTCAATAATAATGAATATTCCCTTTACCAGTTTTGTATATTAAGTCTTGCTATTGTTCTTGGACCAGTTGGGTAAACTTTGCTCTCCCATACCTCCGCCCCTTTCTTAATGGTCAAAGCCATAGGAAAGGTAAAAGAAAAATAGATTACCTTTCAAAATATACTCTTATAGAAGAGTGACCAAACCATGTCACTGATACCTAAGTAATTCATGCCAGATGTCTGTTGGAGATGTGGAATGCAAGCCAATTCATGTTCATGTCACATCTGATCTTGAAAGACTTCCCTATTCTTATTGTTGCATATGAACCAGAGATAGCTAGAAGCTCTTGCTGTCTGTTCCCTATCCCCACCCAAATCAATCATGATCATGTTGGATGTTGTTTTCCGCCATTCTTAAGTTGAGCCTAACTTTATTAAACTAGGTATTTTTTTGCTTTTGGAGATTGAAACGTAATATCTGCTGCCTCGTTTGAGCACTCAAAAATATCAGTGAACTTCTGATTCTTCCGCTCTATTGCACTAAGGAAGAATGTTGTGTAACATTTCACTTGAAAACTTGGATTATTTTACTATTTGAGGACTATTAGGCACCATACATCTTATTGCAAATTTCATTTAGATCTTTGGGATGATAAATTCATAAACTGTAAGGGAAAGATCTCCTGGAACAACCTTAAATTGTATTGGGTTTAATATCTCTCCTCAAGTAAATTCAGGTGTAAATGTTTTGCTGATAAGTGAGAAGCCTCTAGGAATTTCTTGTCTCAACTGAGACCAAACTGAAACAAGGAGACAGCACATGTATTGTTGGAGGAGGCAGACAAGAGAAAAACAAATTGAAGCTTCTTGCTCTCAATATGCTGAGACAGATGGGGGTTAACCTCTCTTTTCAACATTTTTTTTTCCTAAAAAAGGATCTTTTAGGGCTTTTAAGAACTAGGATGTGCATGACCCGGCCCATTTATTGGACATGACCCAGTTGACTGAAGATACTCTTGATTAGACAAGTCAATCATAGAACTGAGCTTTCTGGTGCAATTTGCCTGTTTTAGATGTGATACTCGTGATTCATAGTGCAATTCAGGAACTAAAACAATATGCTGCACTATTTGTATTGCTTTCACTCTGTAACATCTTGAATTGCATAAATCATATCGCAATTCATGTGGTACTGATAACAACGCTATGGATGTCTGAGTAGTGAGCATAATGGACAAAGTAACATGAAGCTAGACTTGGTGTAAGAGTGCAAAACAGTGATTAATAAACTTCCTGACTGAAGATAACAGCTTTTCCCCTACAGCCAGAAGCCTGTTATCTTTATATACCTGGCATAGTTGCTAACCTAACTTCCTGCTTCCCATTCCTATATGATTGATTCATAGTAGTCAATAGCAACTGCTATTGCAGAGGTGCAGAGAAGAGCATTAGGGTGCCGCTATCCCGTCGTCATTGCGTCACGTTTCAATGTAGCAGTTGTCGCTCTTCAGATTGCGGCCAAGACCAGAGCAAATCACGGTCATTGTGGCAGCTATTTTATTTCCTAGGTCAAATTCCTACTTTACCCCCCCTTTCTGAATGTTGGGCGACTTTTAAGGGGGGCAATCCCCAGATTTCAGCTCCCTTTTACATTTTTGATATCTTCTTCCTTGTTGAGCCCTAACATTTCCACCCTTTCTGTTTCTCTTGCTTCTCTGGTGCGACATACTTTCGGTTCCTCTTGCTTCTCTAGTGCAACATTGAGAGTCAGCATTTCTGACCAACTGCTTGTCATCTTCATCATCGGTCTTCTTTATATCTGGCAACATGTTTTGATGTGACCCAAACTATTCTGGCCATCTTCATCTTCGTCTTTTCTGGTCGTCAAGTTCATCGCTGATGAAGTTTTTGACATGACCGAAACATTTTTTGGTGACTGAACAATCTGTTTTTTATTTCCCTTCTGTTTATTATTTATTTCCTTCTCTGTTTTGTTCCAAACTTAAAGGTCTAATACAGAAGCAATGACTGCTTCCCCTAATCAGTCAGGGAACTACCTGTGTTGGTTCCTTTATTTTGTTGTTATTGACATTTGATTGTGTTATGTTCTCAAACTTTCACTTTTAATCCTTAATTATGCATGTCTTTAATTTGTGCATTAATTTTATATTTTTCAGCATATATATCCGTGTAGCTTAAGTAATATTAGGTATATTTTAAACTTTAGAATAGTGATCATCTCACTATCCACTATCCCATTATAGCGTTTTTGGAGTTGGCTGCTTTGTCCCGCTATCCAGGATTGATTACTATGGTATGAGCTAAAGCAGTCCTACATATCAGGGGTGTATATTTTAGTTGCTTGAGTTAGCTTGTTTACTGCTGGTCCCTTCAGAGAAGCTCAGAAATATGTCTGACACAATTGCATTCCATTAGCATTATAGAAGATTATTGAATCATCAACTAAAATCAGATGGGAACTATATAGTGCATACAAAACCAATTTTAATACCATATCAACCAGCAGAATTTTCTTTTATAGTTCATACTATTTTCCTACTTGTAAAGCATTTTCTGTACCTAGGAAAACTTAATGGACTTTGCTTTCTGAATAGTTGTGTTTGGATGTTTTTTCTTACTTATTTTGTTTTATTTAATATCTGTTAATAAGTTCAATTAGTTGGCAATTCTGTAACGTATGATTCTTCCTTGTTTGAACTTGTTATATTCTAAATTTACAAATGATGTGTAGTCCACAATGTATGAATAAATAATGCACACTTTCTTTTACAGTTCATTCTCCATAGTCAATTGTCAATTAATATCTTTCATTTGAAAATTATCAAAACTCCTTTTGTGACACTTTGTAGAATGGATAAATAATATTGGTTTTCTCTTGCCAATGTATGCAGTTTCTTCAGTTGGTTTAATGACACCGAGCAAAAAGATGATATGGATGACATTCATGATGAGGTATATTTGTTCTGGTTATGTAAAATTAGGCGTGCAATCCTGCTGCCGATTTTCCATCTCTCTATTACACAATAAATGACTTCCTTTACTTTGTGTTTTCTGCAAATACCTCCTGTAATATTTATCTTTAAATTGCAGGTTGCAGAATTAATCAAGGATGATTTATGGCCAAATCCACTTACTTATTTCAACAATGTAAGTTAACTTTCACTTCTGATATCCCATTCTCTTCCTTGAATGACAATTTAGCTTCTACGTTGTACATCAGTTAGTTTACTCTCATCGTTGTCTCTTTCCTTGTGTCTCTTAATGATAATTTTAAATCGGAACAGGAAGAGCCTGATGAAGAGGATGAAGCTGATGACGAGGTATTTGAAGTTCCATTTTTTTCAAACAAGCTTAGATAATTAGCAAATCTTGTAGAGTTTTGCTTTTATACTTCTCTGGCATTTTACAGTTCTGCTATATCCTCAATATGTACTGTGAACTACAAAGTTCAGTTAGTGAGTTGTTTTTGTGTGTTTTGGGTTATTTGGTTAGATGGTTTTAAACTAAAAGAAGCCAAAAGTTCAACGGTAAAAAGAGGCAAATTTCATGGATAGATGCTGAGCTGAATGCTTTAATTTTTCACTTCTGAAGCTAAATAAATGCAAAAACAACCAAATCCTTACCCAGTGGCTGCATGGATCAATCAATGTCATTCAGACTACCAAATTTGAAAGTCAGTATTACCAAAAAAAATTTGAAAATCAAAAGACGCTACTCACACTTTCTTTGAGAAGGCACTTGATCCTATTATTATCGTCTGATTATGCTCATTTACCTTAACATGCATATGCAAGTGAAATTACACTTATTTTAGTTAATTATCTTTTTAGCAATTGTTGGCACTTCATTGCCTGAGATTCACTACTATGGAGTGTTGGCTAGGCAGATTTCCCTCGAGTTTACACTCAAATTATGCGTACAGCATCTCTCTTTTTCATTAATCTATCTGGTGCAATGTGACATTACATGGAGAAAAAGGGCAGATCTCAAAGGCAAAATTAAACTGTTGCTTTACTAAGTTACTAAGCTTGCTGTTTTTCTCAATTAGGTGTATTGGGCTTTTCAAATATAATTAATAACTTTATTACTTTTTAAATATCATGTACAGATATTTGTGGTTTATTATAAACTGCATGTTTTCCGTATTGGTAGGGAAAGGATGAGGATGACTCTGAGGACGACGATGACCAAGATGATGACGATGATGAGGGTGAGGAGGAGGGGAAGTGAAAATGGATAATGGTGGTATATACCCTTTTTCTGGGTTGTAGGAGTATCTAAGTGGGCTTTAGGGGATGATGACCACGGCCACCTTTTCTGGTTATCAACCCATATCAGCTGGTGGAGCTACCTAGGCCAGTTAATGGTTCTCTCTCTGACGATGATCTATTTATTGTCCTATGAAGTTATTTCTGGTTTCATCCCTAGTGCACTTTTTTTAGATACTAATGTTATATCGGTTTTATTTCTTGACCCTTTGTTGTGGAACTACATAGTAAAATTGCAGTATTTAGTGTATAGCTGTTTCGTATTAGCGTGCAGGATTACAAGTGACTGAAGTGAGCAATGATCTGCCAAGCAGATATTCAAATACTATTCCAATGCTATCTAATCGATTTTCTTTACCAGTGAGTGTTGGGATGAATCTTACTATCATTTTCTACACACGGTGATTTTGTAGAGAAGTTTTTGTAGAAGAAAAAAAATGAGTATAAAAAATGAATAAAATATTTTTTATAAATTAAAATTAAGTTATGCCTCAAAATTTGAGAGAAGGTAAATGAAATTTTTTTTCAAGTAACTTGTTACAACAATTTTATTTATTTATTGTATTAATTTTTTCTTCTATAAAGAATTTTTGAAAGTTTACTAAAAAAGAATCTTAGTAATGAATAAGATTAACTTTTATGTGTCATAACTTGCGCTTGAACGCAATTGCATGATCTGATTATCAGAGATAATTAGACTTATTTTAGGGGTAAATTTTTACTTTAATCCTTGAAATAATATAATAAACCTTGATTACAGTATATATTTACGTAGACTTTAAACTATGTTATTTTGCATCTTTCTTGTGAAAATCTCACTCAAGTGGATGAAAATATAAGAAGGGAGAAATCGGAGAAATTAATGTTAAGGTAGAGCATAATTAATTAATTATAACATATTATGAATATTAATGAGTCACTCTTTATTGTGTCTCAAGCATTCGATTCTAATTTAGATGGATAAATAATGATTAACTATTTTACTCATCATATAAAATACTTTTGGCAAATATTTATAAATAGGTTGAGGCTTTTAAAATTCAAGTTATTATAAGGTTATAAAATTAATTCTTCTATTTTTTAAATAAAAAATTTCACTCTTGTAAAATTATATAATATTATTTTGTAGACGTATTTTAATTCTTAGTCATTCTTATTTTACAATAGTTTTTTTTATTTTCAATTGGTATCCTAACTCTTATTGGGAGTTTACAGATAAAATAAAAAAAGAATTATAATCATAATTCCTAAGGCATTATGTCCACAATGCATCATAAATTATTATAAACCTTTTATATTTTTTCTAATCATTTAAATACTATACATAATAAGAAAAAAAAAACTTAAACACATAATACATATAAAAATAAAGTTTATTTTCTCTACTTAATCACTTCTTCAATCATCTTGTTTATAAGAAAGAGGGTCATCATCAAGTTCTTAATAAGCTATTGTGAACTAGAGAGGAAAAATCATTTCAACTCTATCTTATTTACAGCAGATATAATCAATATAATGAAACTCATAAAGATAATAGTATGATAAGAGTAAATAAAACTTCATTCTCTCACTCTTATATTAAAGGACAAAGTTTGCGTAGAGGTGTTTGATGTATTTTCACTCATCATTCTGCATCCGTATATATTTAGTAGACACATCACAAAGGAAAAGGATAAGTACAACATTCATAAACCATATCACAAGAAAATATTTATGCTTAAATGAACAAAAATTCATCCAAATAATTAAATAATTAATCAACAAACCAATCAATCATTTTAATGTCTTTTGTTTGTGAATTTTCTATGGAGTAATTAATTAATTATCAAATATTATTAATTTTGGGGCAAGATTGAGAGTTTTATGTTTATAGTCTGGTTAGTGCCATAAGTATATCTTCTCCCTTTACTAAAGACAGAATTTACGTGTACACTTTAATTTATGGTCACTACTAGTAGCCCATACTCAAATCAATTATGGTATGCTCTATTGCCTTTCAAGATAGTCTAGTAAAGTTCTCACTACCGTTGTGTCTAGCCATGCTTAGTTCTCTGTAGTTCTTGCACACTCTCTTACCTCTTATAGTTACACCAATACTATTTGCTTCTCACCTATGCCGTACCGTATTCAACCTTTTTCTTTATGAATTAATTCATGTTCATAATCACAAACACTTCTTTGAGAATGACAATTGAGCGTTGTTTTGCAATTTTGAAAAATAGGTTTCCTCTTTTAAAGTTGATGCCTTCATATAAATCTTCTTGAAAATGGAAGTGGAATTTGAATGTGATTTATTTAGGATATGGGAAGAAATGAATCATATAGAAATTGAGCATATCAATAGCGGTTCAAGCATAAAAAAAAAAGAAACTCCAATAGTCATAATTTAGTCAAATTATCCGACAAGCGTACAACTGACATTTCAACTTTGTTTGAGGGTTAATTGGAAAGGAAGGAAAGATGAAGACTTATGTGATGTTTAGCATGTTTAAGAGTTTTTAAACAAGAAAGGAAGGTTTATAAATCCTCAAAGATAATTCTAATCCCATATTTTTGTATTAAGCCCCTTTTTTCTCTTTATCTTTCAAACTCTTGTTTTTTCTCTCCTTCGAAACTCTCAAATAAAGTCTTAAGGATCATATTACAAATTAAATGTGGACATAATATAACAACTAGTTAGCATTAACTTATACATCATACATTTACTGATAGTCATACATATATTGTAAGATTTATTGTCACATGATATACAACTATACATATATAATAGCATTTACTAAAGATTTATTCTTAATATACACATTCATTTGTTTTATATCAGTGTTATTCACTTATTTTTTATAATATTACTGATTCATACTATTCATGCTCATTTATTAAAAATTATTTTAATTTTAAAATTAATTATTATTTTTTAGTCTAATATTAATTCATATTTTATAATTTTCATTATTTATTGAATTCTCTATATAAATTGCAAGTATTAATTCTTAAACAAGAATATTTATCAATTCAATATTAATTAAATTTTAATGTTTTAATAATTTTTTAATTTAATATTTTATTTCAAATATAAGAAATATATTTAAGTAAATAAAAAATAATAAAATTAAATATCATCTATATATATATATATTTAATTAAAAATACTAAAAAAGTAAAATAAAACCAAACACATTTTTGAAACTTAAACTAACTAACAGTTTTATTTTTATTTTCTTCTTAAGCATAATTTTTTAAAGTTATTTTAAAGTGTAGATTTTAAAAATAAAAATAATAAAAAACAAATGAGCATTGACTAACTGATTGTTACAATAACACACTCGAAAACTTTAAAAATCCTTACTATAAACAAAGGATGACTTCAGGTTACTCTACAGCACAAATCAAGTATAAATCCATATTATAAACATTGTTCAACGAATATTTCAAATTACATTATCGAGGACATTGGCAAAACTCTAAAACCTATTGCACTAACCGACATTAGCTATAGAAAACCGTGTAGTAACCTCTGCTTAAGAGTCTTTTATTCACCAAAAGAATTAGCCATAACTTGTTACGTTTCAAATTGCATTCATTATACTGAAAAGGTTGCATCTAGAAGGAGATTGGAGAAGCATAGAAGAGATGGTTGATCCATGCATTCCTACGGTTGATCTCACTCCTTTCTTAAGGGAGGATGTGATGAGAATCAAGGAAGGTCCATTGAAGACAAAGACTTGAAGATATTGGAAGAACTTCAAGGACCAATGACAAGGGCAGAGTCAAAAAGAATAAATGAAGACTTAGAAAAGATTGTTGTTGTCTTATTTGAAAGGGAACTCAATTTAGAGTTAGAAAAGTACAAGATGGTCAATTACATATGCTTAGAGTATTTGAACTTTAACGAGTTTTATTAGGATTTAATAATTATATTTAGTTTATTTATTTTAATATTAGTCATTACTTATTTTGAGTTTTTATTTAGGATAAAATCTTGTTATTTTATTTAGTTTATTTGAATCTAGGCTTGTTGGTACAAGAAGCCCATTAGAATTTGCGTTACTATTAGTTTACAAGCATTAGACATATATAAGCTCTTGTAGACACACTTTTAATTAGTTTTTTAATACAATTTGAGATTGAACACTTTTGTGAGAGCGTGTGACCCTAGGTTTTTGAGTGAGCTAGTTTTCTTTAATCTTATCAAGAGGCCAAGACTCTTGTGGCGATTGTTCCTTAGCTTATCAATCTTGCGATTGTGGCGCCATTTTCCATCTCTATTCTATTTTCACTTTTTATTAATTTTCTTCTTTCTTCAATTCCTATTTGTGCCCTAATAATTTCATTTTTATTGTGTGAAATTCAATTCAAGATCGTTTAATTCAGTAACACAGTTTGTGATTGTCATCAATTGGTATCAGAGCTTTGGTTAGAAATGGATTGAAATGTACTGTTCATCGCATATTGTTGACGTAGTGCTCATTGAAAAAAAAAAGAGAGAGAAAAAAAATATATATACTACAAAAAAAATTGCAACATACAAAAGTGTGTTTTTGATATATTTATTCTAATCTTCCGTTTATTTTGCTTGATTCCATATAAAAAAAAATAGTTGTTATTTAATGTTACATAATCTTCTTTAAATTCTCCACTTTTGTCTTATTTGCAATCTATTTTTGGGTGTGCTTATTTCTTATTTAGTCCTTTTTTCCTATTGTCTTGTTGGCTTCCTTAGTTTTGTCTTAGAGTTTTCTTTTGTTGGCTTCACTTGTTTCTCGTTGATTGATCGTCTCTTGGTTTTGGTTGATTGTGTGAATTGGAGGTTGACTTTCTTAAGAACTCTTGAGAGCACTTGAGGGGAAAAAGGTAAGAGAGAAATCCTTACACAAGAGCCAATTTAGAGTGAAACATGAGTGAATATTTACTGAGTGAAAACACTTAGTGAGTGGAGAGAACCTTTTCTTTTTGCATTAACTTTTATTGTTCTGTAGCATGTCTCAAGATGGAGGATCAAGTAGAGAGAGCACTCCTGCCTCGCAAATTGAAAGACTTGCTCAAAGATTTGAAAGAATGTTTGACAAGCAAACTGAAGCAATAAAAAATGTTTAAGAGGCATTGACAAATAATGCAAGAAGGCAGTCACGTAATCGTTCTCCACATGCCTATGGAGATTCTAGTAGTTCTTCAAGAGAAAGAAGAAGAGATAGGAGGGATAATGAAGAAATCAGGTATGATAGGTGGAGAGATAATAGAGAGAGGAGGAATCAAAGAAGGAGAAGAGAAGATGTAAGAATAATAAAAAATGAGAGAATTGGTGGAGTTAAAATAAAGATTCCCAATTTTCATGAAAGGAATGATGTTGAAGCATACTTA